AGCGGGGACAATAAAATCTGAGGAAGGAGTAACAAAAAAGTGATCTTGACATTTTTATCAAGGCTTTAAGCAGCCACTGAAATATTGTTGTAATTTGTTTTTTTTTTGAAAATAGACAATGGAGAAATATTGCTGTAATTACTCGTCTGATTCTCCAACTTCTCACAGTTCAAAAAAAAAAAAAGGACAATTCTGGATCACATGGGTGTTCTGCTCGCGCCCCATAACCAGCCAAGCGTTTATCCCATTCCGACATGTCAATTGACCACGCGCCAGAGACCGTGGCCGTCAAATTTTAACGTTGGGGATAGTAGAAAAATACAAAGGATATCCGCCACCTCAAAGAAAAAACACTGTTAAAATATTTACTATAAAAAATTAAAATAAAAAAAAGTATGTTCCTTTTCGTTTCAGAGAACCTCTCCCCGTTCCTTCACTCCTGTCTATCGACTCTATCCTGCCACTTTTTCCTTTCTTTTTCTCTTCCACCTCTTTCCACAGGTAACATTCCACCATTTTCTTCTTTTTCCCCCTTTTCTTTACTATGCATATATTTACTTAAGTTTCTGCAATTTAACGTAGTCCATCCTCCACCCAATTCCAGCAAAATTCATGAAATCTTAGCTCTTAAGTTTCGCTTAAAATAAATAAAATCTCTCAACTTTTCTTGAAGTAAACACTTTTTTCTTCCTTATTGGTCTCATTATCTTCAACATTTCTAAAAACTTTATATGCTTCTTCTTCCGCCACTACCACCCAGTAACTTCATTTCTACCTTCTCTTTTTTAGATTTAACATGTACTAAGTCGCGTACCCATTAACTCTCTGCCATGTACATGTATTTTTTTTTTTTTTTCTGAAGTTGGAGAAGAATTATGTTCTGGATTAATTCAAGTTTGGTAAGATCATTGAGTTCAGATCATGGTGTAATTGGGTTTTGATTTTTGTGTTCTAACTTTTTGTGGGTTGGTTTCAGACTTAAATTTTTGTGTGTGATTAATGTTGGGATGAAATCATTGTACTTTTGGATTGAAGTTGATTATGGGAGTAATGGGTTTTGAGAGATCCGGTGTGGGGTTCAAGAATTTGAAGATCTGTGCTCAAATCTATGTGGGGTTTCTGCTGATTTGTTTAGCGAGATTCTCGGTTGGATTGACTAATCCTTCTGATGGTAAGTAAGCCTGATATTATAGCATTTAAATTTTGTGTATCTTTTAAAATTTTTTTATTATGTTTGGTTGCTGAGAAAATGATGGAAAATGAAAGAAAACGAAATATACTGATTTTAAGTTTGATTACTACAGTTAACTGTTACAAGTTACAAGAAGGAAAATTGCTTAACTAAGCCGAACGGTTAAATTGGGCGTCTACTATTAAAACACTGAGTAATCAAGAAGTTGAGACGGTTCTGAAACATATGCTATTATTTCTTGTCCCACTTATTCTCTATTGCCAAATTATACATGTTTTTGAAATGGTCCTCTTTCATTTTTTCAGAATAGGATATTGGTATTTATTCTTCTTTTATTTTCTTTTATTATTATTATTATTTTGTTATGATTCACTTAAGAATATCATTTCTTTGTTGGCTTCTTTTTTTTTTTTTTTTAAGTTTTTATGCTTGTTTCTTGTTATTATATGGGAAAATTTCTCTAATTTTTTGCATTATGAATCTTTAGTTGCTGCAATTAATAGCTTATACACTGCAATGGGCAACCCTGTACTACCTGGGTGGGTTGCTTCTGGGGGAGACCCATGTGCTGAAGCTTGGCAAGGCGTGCAATGTAATGGTTCAAACATATTGAGCATGTAATGGAGCCACTTCTTGGAATCTTTATGGTAGTTAATGTTTGGTGATATTATCAATATTGATATTGCTTACATGGTCTTTTGGTTTTTGCAGAGTTCTTAATGCTGCTAATTTGGGAGGAGAACTGGGCGATAACTTGGCGATGTTTTCTTCTATCAAGGCAATGTAAGTGGTATTGTGATTACGCTTTGCATTTGTTTGAGAATGTTGTGATTATAATTTCAGTGATTTTGACTGAAGCATTCCTGTCTATGGAGGAGAGAATTTTCAACTCTTTTCACTTTTGAGCCTTCTAAAATATTTTTCATTTTTGGCAAATAATGGCAATATAATATTCTATTTGTGCGCCAGTGCACTTGTGCTCCATATAGGTTTTGGATTTGTTTTGATGCATAGAGTCTCTTGGGAACTTGTACTGTATAGTCTGTTTGACTTTAAACTTAGAACCATGATTTTAATTTCTCATACACGTGAATTTTCTTATTGGCTTAGTTACATGGGCTGTTCATAAATATGCTTGACATGCACAATCATTTAGTCAGCACATCTCAATCACCCAAAATTGGATTTTTGGGCTTTGTGATGAGCTGGATGAGTGAGTGAATGCTGCTCTTTATGTAGGCATGTAAACTGGGGAGGATGCTTGTGGAAATCCTGCTCTGAATAATAAAATCATAATGTTACCACACTTTGCTAAGCATTAAACGATCCTCATTATTCTTATATGTATACAGGCATTGTCATCATTTTTGTTGTTTTGTTCTGTTTCAGAGATCTAAGCAACAACCACATCGGAGGCAGTATTCCATCCAATTTGCCTGCTACCATGCAAAACTTGTAGGTTATATCTATTCATGAATTTAACTTCTTGCTTGCAAGCCTTTACTTCACTAAACTTGTCCTATAAACCTCTAACAATCTTATGTCTTTATGTTTGGCAGTTTTCTTTCAGCCAATCAGTTCAGTGGAAGCATACCAGATTCACTTTCTACTTTGATTCTATTGACTGACATGTAAGTTTTGGCTTCTCTATCTTTTAGTTGATACTGAGCTTATTAATTCTAGACTTCACTACTTGTTCTTTTGTTCTTTCAGGTCTCTAAATGACAACCATTTGAGTGGACAGATACCAGATGCTTTTGAAGCCCTTACTGGATTGATCAACCTGTAGGTTCAAAGCTTTATCAACCAATATAGTTTTATTTCCAGGCATATTTATATTGGTTAATTATATTGATTGGTTGAGTATCTTCATATAGGGATTTGTCCAATAACAATTTGAGTGGGCACTTGCCTTCTTCTATGGAGAACTTGTCACGTCTGACAACCCTGTAAAGACCCTTTTCTCTAACAAACATTAAATTTTCCTGTTACATGAATGATATTCACCTTATTTGCTTAAGTTGCAGACGTTTGCAGGCCAATCAGCTATCTGGAACGCTTGACGTTTTACAAGATCTCCCTCTAAGGGATTTGTACTATTCTCAACTATAATCATTGCTAACTTTTAAAATGAACTAGTCATTTCTAGATGTTATATTTGCTGAATTGGACAACAATTGCTTTAGACATTTCTAGGACTGTTTAGCTTATGAATTTTTTCCCTTGTTTGTCCTTTTTTGAACAGGAATGTAGAGAACAATCTTTTCTCTGGGCCCATACCAGTAAAAATGCTGAACATCCCAAACTTCAGGTGAGAGCTGTAGAATGGTTCCTTAGGAGATTAGTTATCCTTTTCACTTTTGTTGAAAACATTCATTAGTAACTAGTATGGATCATGCTGTTTGATATGCCTCCAATGAGGCTAAACTAAACATATTAGAGATGATTCGTAGCTTGCAAATTTAGGATATTTTCTTACATCCTATTTTCAGAGATTTGCCACACCAATGTTGATGATAGCTTTATGTGACTGATGCAGCAAATTACTAGATTAGAAAAATGCCATCTTCCCTAAGGATTGCTCATCATGCTACACTTTGACAAATTTTCTGTATGTATAGCATCAAAGTATATCTAAGTGAAGATGATTGGGTTAGAAATGCAATGGGCTTGCATTATTTTTAAACATTATGTTTTCTTATGGAGATGCTTGGTGACAGTACTGAGTTGCATTATCTTTGCATTAGAGTTGATGGGTGATGTTAGTATGAAAGGTCTCTTTATTGAATTGCCTATTCTCATTATGCATGGGTTTTGATAAAACATCCTTAAAATGTGACTGTCCTTGATGATATTGTTTTCCATATCTGGGATTGTCATTTTTTCATTTGGCGAAAGGGGCCCTGTTCTTGTAAGGTTTAAAATTTGGATGTTTGTTACCAATGCATTCTTGGCTAATGTTACATTAAATTCTCTACCAGAAAAGATGGAAACCCATTTAATTCCACTATAGCTCCACTACCTCCTCCTACATCACCATTGTCACCAACACGTGCACCACCTCCTTCTGGGACCCCACCTTCTGGATGGGTGCCACCTTCTGGACAAGCCCCAGGAAAACGTGCAGATGGGCCATCTGCAGCAGAGGGATCTGGTACTGAAGGGAAGAAGAAATTTTTAACTACCAAAAGGGTGGTCTGGATATCAATTGCAGTGGTGATATCATTTATAGTTCTGGTATTAGTATGTTTACTTCTTATTCCAAAGTGTACCAGAAGGAGGGAAGAGGCTGACGAAATTTTCAAGCGGCATCAAGTAGGTGCATACAGAGGCAACAGAGAGCATCCTGGAGATGAAGGCTCCCTGCCAACTAATCATATGGATAAAGGCAAATGAATTTACATTGAGTTTGTTATGCTATCTTGACATAGATTAATTTTTCTGTATATCTATATTTGGATTCTCTAAAAATGATTTGTGAAAATTTTATTGAACAGTTTCACAAGAGGTTAATACCAGACCTAAGGATGATGTTTGGGCAGGGACCAGAAGAATGGGAGCAATCCCAAAGCTATGGAATGAGCAAGAGAAGAATGTGCAACGGATGGGCACAGAACCAAAGCTACATGAACATGAGATAGAAATGATGTTGACGCCCCCTCCCCCTCCCCCCCCACCAGCCCCTCCTGCTGACATACCTAGAGCAAAGCCTTCTGCCAGAACTCCAAAGCTGTCCTCTTCTGCAAGGTCTTTCACCATTGCAACCCTTCAACAATATACAAACAGCTTTTCTCAAGAAAGTCTTATAGGGGGTGGTATGCTGGGGAGTGTTTATAGAGCAGAACTTCCAGATGGGAAGGTATAATTGTTGATCTTTAAGTGATTTAATTAAATGAGCATTTTGGAGGATAGTTTAACTGGATCCATTGTCTTGGTTTCATCATGTGAGACTTTGGTTGCATTAATATGCTTGGCTTTGATACTTCACAGGTCTGAGAATTACTAACTTCAAATCGAGAATTTAGGATTTAGGTTCTCATTCGAAACTACGGTTGCATCGGTATACTTTGGTTTTTGTACTTACTTTATGGGTCCAGGAATTCAACTTCAAATCCAGAATTTAGGATTTAGCTTCTCATAATTTGAAACTTCGATTGGTTTTGATACTTATTGTACTGGTCCAGGAATTGCTAACGTCAATTCTAAAATTTAGAAATTAGATCATAAAGCTTAGAGTAAAACAATATTTTCTTCCTTTGCTGTATTCCTCTCTGTCGTATATAAATTGTTCATCCATATGCTAAAATAAATAAGAGCAGTCAAGAGTGAGTAATCACTCTGGCCTTCAACTTCTGTCAGTTTTCTATCTGCTGAGAAATATCAAGTTACCTTGTGTTGTTACTTGTTAACTGTAGATTTCAGTTTCCATAAATTACCTACAGTTAGTTTGGCACCTATTGTCCTCATATGCCAGTCTATATGTTTGATTATATTTGTACAGTGTGGCTTCATGTTCTGATGCATAATCTCTTCGTATGCTTTTGTTTTGTAGGTACTTGCAGTTAAGAAATTGGACAAGAGGGCATTGAGTCAGCAAAATGATGTTGACTTTATTGAGCTAGTAAACAATATTGATAGAATCAGGCATGCACATGTTGTTGAGCTGGTAGGTTACTGTGCAGAGCATGGTCAAAGGCTTCTGATCTATGAGTACTGTAGTAATGGGTCGCTCCAGGATGCACTTCACTCTGATGATGATTTCAAAAAGAAGCTTTCATGGAATACCCGCATTCACATGGCGCTTGGAGCTGCTAGAGCCTTAGAGTAAGTCAAGTGACCCTTGAGTTAGCCATACGTTACCATATTTGAAAATTTTTGCTTTATTTTAGAAAAGGTCTGCTGGTAGCAGGTTTACATTTTTGGAGGTTTTTGGTCTTTTGAGGAATTTCTAAGTTGCACTTTTTAAAGTGGATTGGGTTCATTCCTTGCATTCACACTCAATGAATTAACTGTATGATAAAGCTAATTAATTTGGCAATTGAATTATAAACCAAGTTGAGAAAGAAACTGAAAATGTATAAATGATGATGAAAACACCAAAAAAGAAGCAACAAACCATTCAGATAGTGTGCTGTTATATTGCACTAGCAACTGTTCCAATACATGATTCAGTGTCATGCAATACATAAGAAACTACTATCACACCTACAGATACATTGGTGG